TTTTTTTTTTTACTTGATGCCAATGTCACAATTACTCACTACCAAATTTGGAATGGAGCAACTTAACAGTTGTAAGGTATGAAGGTGAAATTTGTTACACAGTAAAAGCAACAAAAAAAAAAAAATTATAAACATGACTTTGCTTTTAAGAGTTTAATGAAAACATTAACTCCTCACCTATAGACACTCTCAGAGGTCAGATGGCCAAGTATGATGGCCAGAATGTGCCTGAGATTCCTCTTCTTCAGCTCTGTAAGTATATCTACCTTCCCCAGGCCCATCTTCCTGCCAATCAGTCCTGCCAATGGCATAGTGGTCCTGAACATCACAGGGGTCTGGGCCAGTGCAGCTGTAGACTTCAGCTGCTCCTTAAGGCTGGGACTTTGGCCAGCAAACATCTGGGCTCTCTGCTGGCACATAGCGTGAACCAGCTGCAAAGCTGGAGTCAAAGAGAGATCAACTGGGGTTGTTCTCACAGGTGTTACAGCTGTGCTAAAAGGTGTCATGTTTTCTGGCTTGGCTATGGTCATTCTTTGTGGGGTGGCATAGTCTTGGTTTTCAGAGGACAAACCATCAGAAGTGATGCCATTACCACATTTATCAGAAAGGACACAACGAGAGGTGATACTGTCAGCAAAAACATCCTCAAAATGGCTGTGGCATTGAGGAAGACGTTCATGCCTTCTGTCCAGTGGGTCATCATCAGACTGAGAGCTCCCTTCTTTAAGTGTAGAAAGCCTGTGCTGACGGTGCAAACGGGAGCGCCGCTTTGCCTCTGCAAGATTTGGTGTTTCACTGTTTTTTCGAGAGGCAGACAACAGTAGCTCCTGGAATGAACCATCATGATCCACTGAGGAGTCTTGGTATTTATCAAGGGTCAGGGAACTGAAGCCACTGTCCTCACAAGCAGACCTGCTGCAGGGTTAGAAGGCACTTGTAATAGGCATGTTTAAAATAACAAACATTCTTTATTCATTGCTTCTTGTAGTACTCAAATGAGAAAATACTAATTTTAAAGTCAAATGCCACAAAAGCACATACCTGATGAATTTTGGTGTATGTGTGGATGACGGTGTGCAGAGGACACTTGAGCTGTTAAGTAGGCCATTGGTCACACCACTGACTGGTGACTGAGAGGCTTCCTTAGATGAGGCAGACAGCAGTTTGCTAGAGCATGGAGTCCCAGCATTAATTTGATCGCAGGCAGAAATGCTCTCACTGAAATCAGCGTCCAAGAGTGAAAGTCCTCTCTCAAAATTAGGAGGGTGACCAGAGTTGAGTTTATTATCATCAAGAGTAGAGGTCCTCACCTGTGAGAAAAGCAGACGGCATTTCCTACCAGATAATGGCAAGTCCTGCTCCAGTTTTAAAGTGCTTGATGCCAAAGCCCCTATGACAGTGTCTAGAGAATCAAACGATGCACTTAGCCAGTGTTCAGACTTTGCGCTGATGAACAATTCAGTCTTCCTGGTGTATGGTGATCCTGCACCCTCAGGCTCAACATCTGTGCTGGGTTTGCACATTCGAAGTCTTTGTCGCAATGAGTGATCTCTTTTATACAATTTAGGAGTTTCACACCAACTAACAGATGATGACTGCTGTACCCCCCTGGAGTCTTTGTCCAAAAGTCTGACTGATTCTCTCGTCCTATCTTTTGGTGTGACAGATTGCCTGAGGTTCTCTTTAGGTGCTTCATTGAATTCCTCGGGGGACAAAGCCTTACAGGGGTCAGCTCCACTGATGCTCCCTGGGCTGTGGAATACACCCGAGTAGCCACTGTCAGAGGAGTCCTCCAAATAGTGCTGGCCTTTGCAGCGCTCAAGGAAGACATTTGATTCAGGAGTGCACTGCATTTTCCTCCTCCTGTGTGCAGCTTTGACCTAAACAGAGAATCCACCAAGAGGTGGAGGAGGACATCAACTGACCTGAACTGAAAAAGTAATGCATATTGCTACTCCTGGATAAGTGACAAACATGGCATTAAAGAACCCAGGACAGCATTAAGTGTGTCCTTCTGGAAGCTAACTCACTTTAATTTAAAAACTGAGCATATGACTTTAATCTATACAATTATAAAAAGAAAACAAAGCTACTCTATCTTAAATCCTGCCTGCGTTTTGTTTCTAATTAGATGCAATTATTTTAGACTAACTTAGTGATAAGAGATGAGCCAAGTAAAAAAGTCTCAGTGTTCACAGGTAGCAGTTATCTTAACACAGTCAGCTGGTTCAACACCCAGCATCCTCAGCGGCTGGACGTCCCTATACAAGAGCTTGTTGTCCATTTAAATCCCCAGCTGCTACTCTCTGTGCCGCTATAAAGTCGGTTATAGCCGCCAAAAGGAACAGCCGGCTGCCGGAAGTACACAGCGGGGGCTCACGTAGGAACCCAGACGGGAGTGTGCCACTCTTTTACAGTATTTTATTCACAATTACACTGACTTAACACGGGTTAACGAATATCTAGCAGACGGATCAGTTGGCAGCTCAGCTTGGTCTGTGTGCCTCCAAAAACAGGACCGACGTTAACCTCGAATAAGTGCTTTTGGTCAAATGCACCTGAATCATCTAAGACTAGGCTCAGTTTACTAACGATCATTTAAAATAAAAACCATACACGTTGTAGGCTACAACTCCTTCAAGTGCCACAGACACCAGTGTTAAAGCGACTGACGTTAGCATGATTGAAAATACCCATGTAGCCTACCTAAACATTCTACTGCTGTTTA